TCTCGTAAAAATACTATTGAATCAGGACTGTCACATAAGATTGCCTAAACTTTATATCTCCTCTTAGTCATTTTTTATTTTTTATCACCTTTTTCTCTTCATCTCTTCTTAAATACACTAATCTTCAGTTAGCTGAGATCTTCCCTATATTCTGGTCGCGAACATATCTATATAAATCCACACCTGGCGTGCTGAAAAGTACCATTGGTCCAGGACTGTCAATATATGATTGCTCGAAAGGCCTAATATGCTTGAAATCAAACATATTTCGTTCAACAAATGTTCTCTTGATCTTCTCGTTTGTCCAACTGATAAATAAGCGATAATACTGAAAGAGACAAACAAATTTGATAAAAAATTTCTAACTTCATTCATTTAAAAACTAAGCATATGCAATTCGATGGTGCATTGTTACCAACACAATAAATTGCAACGAATTTGAACTGATACGGCTCCTACAGTGGGAAAAAGATATACCTGATTAGCTTTCTCCGCCAATCCCTGTGAGAAAAATATTGGATACTTCAGATTCATCCGCTCCCAGTATGATTCTAGTAAAATACATAATTCTTGTGCACGTCCAAGAGCAAAAACCGGAATCAAAACCTAAAGCTTATTCGTGACTTGTATCAAGAAAGCAATCAAATCAAAAGAATATGCTTCATCATTATAATAACGGGATATCAAAAAAAACAGAAAACAACCTTTCCGCCATTCGATACAGTGTCATGAACTTTTTTCAAAAAATCTCGTTCGCGAGCACGTTTTGAGTCCCTTATGGTTGTTGCGTAAGTACTTTCAGATATTAGTATATCAGGCTTGAGACCAGGTTCAACACGTGCAGCACCCAGATGTCGATCAGGTGTTGTATTAAAATCACCTTCAAGAAAGAGAGTCGCTTAATTTTGCAAATAATATTTTTAATTTTTTTAAAAAAACGAAACTCTAGTCTAGTAATCGCTGAACCAAAGAATGAAAATGTTCAAAATATGTATATGTGATATCTTAAATCGAGTTAATGATATAACATACCTGTGTATAAAACGCTTTCAGAGCCGACCATAATTTGAAACATTGCAGCACCAAGCACGTGACCCGCATAAAAAGCTCGTATCGATAATTCATTATCTACATCGATTTTCTCATGTATATTTATTGCGATTACCTGCAACTTAAAATTAAGCACTGTTTTAGAAAAATTCGAAAAAAATGAAGCATGGAACTGAATTTAACCTTTTTCATGCAGTTTTTGATCATTTGGGAAGTAAAAAAATTCTTATCTCCTTTAAATTCAGTCTGAACTTTGCGATAATCCTCCTGAAATCACCATCGAATACATTTAATATACAAGACAATAATAATAAATCAAATGGATGATTTGACAGTTAAATAAGATCAATTCATGAAAAACCTCTTCTCTACCATGATCAGATGATACAAACAGTGTTTGAAAAAGTTCGGGTGAAATTTTAAAAAGTAAGCGGTATTAACTACGAAAATAAAAAGATGCCAAAAAGATTGTCAAATCTTGTCATATAGTTTGAGGAAATCAAAATCTGGAAATTGACTAGTAACAGATATTACCAATAACACAGGTGCAATAGCTTTCGTCGGATACGTCATATAAATTGGCCCATCGTAGCCAATAACTTCACTCATATGAGGAAGTGAGCCACAGTGGTCCAGATGAAAGTGAGTTATAATGACACAATCAACGAATTCTGTTAAGGGTCCACCACCACCAATAAAACTAAATATAAATATATTACAGGATCAAATAATTGATATCATTCAGTGATGAATAAACTACGGAATGGAACAGTCCTTTATCAAACGAATTTCTCATGTGGCAAAGAAAACTGCAGCCCAAAACGCGGAGAAGTTATTTATGACTTCAAAAGTTTCAATGTAGAAAAAATAAGATATCAACACTTCTCCAAATAAGATTCAGAAATGCTAGCTAATCTCTAAAATAAACTTAGCAAACTAACGAGAAATCAGGAAATCGTCTTTCATCGGAATAACCCATGTGCATACCACAATCAAGCATCACATTCTTACCACCAATGGATACCAAAATACAGCTTCTACCAACATCTCGCCCCGCACCAAGAGGAACTATCTTCAATGAATAATACAGAAAGTTAGAATCTTGCTCATGGAACCCAATCCAAGTTTCACAAAAGAATTTGTTAATTAGGGTTTTAGACTTTAAATTATAAATATTTCAATCACCTGCAGGTTAGCTTTAATTAGAAAGGGACTAAATGGTGCTTGCAAATAGATTATATGAATGAAAAAGTGATATGACATTTATCAAACCCGCATAGCATCAAAAAGTCATAAACAATCAAGAAATTTAATGATACCTAAGCAAGTTACTGCTGCTTACCTTAATTTCGGGCATTGTAATAAGCAAGCATTAGTTTCCCACGTACGACAACATTTCCAGAAGAGAACATGATCTGATAAGCCCAAACAATTCCTGTCAATAATTTTTCTGGCAAATGTCGAGTTTTTCACAATCAATTACTTTAATGATTTTAACAACCTTGTCTATTTTAAATTATAAAACGCGAAGCAAAGCACCTTTTCAAGTTAAAAATTACAATAAAAATCAACATTCATGGATAACCCAAATATACGGTGAAACACTTACTGGTAAGTTCCAAGGACACGGAAAAAAAGTTTGTAAACTCATTGAACTTGAAATCAGTACTTCACTAATTAATGAACATGTGCTCAACTAACTCTTATAAATTAACTTATAAATTTATATAATTTTTTATAAGAGTTAGTTAATTTAAGAATTAACTAACTCTTATAAATTCGCATCGATCTCTGCCATATTTTCAGCAATAGAACGCTTTCCATGCATTCTCAATCACTGTCAATATTGCAAAGAATGATTATTTGGTCATTTTCGTATTCCTAATATCTCATAAACTCTGTTATTCTCTGAACGTTTTTCTAACTGCTTCCCACGCTCCTTAATCCTGCTATGCTTTCTATGCTCGAATGTTTAGTTTATAATTTTAATTTAATGGTTTATAGTTTATAATTTTAATTTAATGGTTTATAGTTTCCTGCTATGCTCGAATGCATAGCAGGAAACTATAAACCCGAGAACAGACAAAGATCTAAGTTGCATCCCCGTTAGATGCAACGAACTATGAAATGGAGATAAGGGTCAGATATTTGTGGGTCTATGAAGGTTGCTTCCATTCCTGACTTTTCATTCCGTAGTTGGCATGGTATAATTCAAGTCATGATTATCTTAGACCATTTTCATTTAGGTCCTTTAGAAATTATGATACATATGGCTGCGCTTACCTTATGAAAAGATTTTACTTGTCATAAAACAAGTTTTTGCAAAAACTCAGATCACGAGTTGGCATAGTCTCATTTCTAACAATTCGATTTTTTGCACTGAACTCAGTTGGATACAGAAGGTCAAAGAACAGATAAAATACTTTATTTGAAATGGAACACAACAAATCGGTATAGATAAACTTAAAGAAAACTGAAACATTTTAATGATAAATAAATGTAGTAGCAAAACAAAAAACGTTTATAATAGGACAAGCGTTGAAAAAACTCTATATCATTATTGAAGGTTTCGGGATAGATAAACAATTCTTGTGAAATGAATTTGAAGCTTTTAAATGAAGTCATGTCTTTCTATAAGAGAACTTAAGAAAACGACAAAAGTCGGAAAAATTATGTCTTAGCAGATGAAAATTAAACTTAATGTCAAAACTGATCCAATATTTTCTAATCTTTACAAGTGCAAAAAAGATAATGAAAAATTGAGGACAAATTTGTTTTTCTTAAAATTTCTTCAAATGAAATTTCAAATAATTTCGAAAGAAAAATCATTTCTCTTTTTGTTTCCTATTACACTATGAGATATATTTGACAGAGGGCGACATTTGGCGCATATATTTTTTCACAGTTACATTTCAATGAGCAATATTGCTAAGATTATGAAATGCAATCGGTTTAACACAACCGGTCATCTTCTTATAGTTTGATAATGCAGGATTCAGTTATATCATCACAGAAACAACCTTCATCACTGAAAAAAATTTTTGCTAATGAATTTGGGAAATTTCATGAGTAGCGGAAATGAATCGATCAATCTAACAATGTATACAAAAAATTCGCAAATTTCAAGAAACATAGATGTGATTTTTCACACTTATTCGATTATTATTTTATTTTTAATTTTTATATCATTTATGTGCATATTATGCATCGAATGATAAGTTTGAATTATTCATAAATTTATTTAAAGATAGAAATTTGCAAAAAGTACTGATGAAATATGATCTTTGCTTTCAACCACCCAAAACTGCTTAAATATGTATCATTTCATCTATTCCTTCTTTCACTTCGACTTCATAAAGCATTTAAAAATTATCAGAATAAAAAAAGAAACAAACTCTAAAAAAAGCAATCAAATAATCATAAAAAACTGATTCACTTAGCAATTCAGAAACACAAATAAATCCCAAAACAAAAACTTTCATAAAAGACAAAAAACAAAATTAAAAGAATCAAAAGAAAAATAAACAAGCATTTCAACAATAATCAAAAACTCCTAATAATACAACAAATATAAAAAACAAAACAAAACAAACAAACAAACAAACAAACTGATCTAATCTCTTAATTATAAATTAAATATTTTAAGTTAAATTAAAACAGCGAAAACCCCAAAAAACATTTAATGTTTATTAGAATATAACATTGTCATTTTAGTGTTTATTTGAATATGTCTTAATGATATGTCTTACTTCTGTTTTTTGAATATGAATATATTATATCTTTATTTGAACATAATTTTGTTAACTGTTGGCTTGAAAATTTCGGGAAAGTATTTGAAATAATAGGGTTTTTTGAAAAAAAAGAAAATTTAAATGTGATTCGTTAAAATTCCGCCTTTGATGATTATGGTAACAAGATTAAATAAGCTTACGTTTAACTCCTTCCAAATTTTAAACTATTCCATATTTTTGGTTCATGCAAGTCGTAGCAGTTTCTATACAATTGACACTTGTTCCGCCTGAAAGTGATTTTAAGATATATCAGGGAAGTAATTGTTATGCCGGAAAAAATTTGTAGTGATGAAAAATAGTTCATGTTTAAGAAGATGAAATTATAAGTCGAATTGAAGATTTCTATGATGCTATGCAGTTGCTTTCGCAGCGAGTTACACCCATCAGTTTTTTCATAGATGGCGCCACTGTTTAGCCTACCTCGAATACTGGCCGATTGTTGAACTGTTGAAGTTGTTGAAGACAATGTCGATAACAATTGCTCCAATGTTGTCTCCTCCCGTGGTAGTACAATTATAGTTTCATGATGATCCATCAATGTTTTTATCTCGGATACATTCATCAATGGTGCAATATCCCAAGCTGTTGAAGTAAAGTTAAGTTCTCCATTTGATACTGCTGTAGTGTGATTAGCAATGCTATCATTAACAGTCTCTAAACTTTCCGCATTTCTTGATAGACGTTCTGAATCTTCTTGGAGATTCGTCTGTTCGGTAACATTTATTTCTTCCACAACTGACATAGTTTCATTTACAGTTGTCATTGTCGTTGCTAAATTGCCTAATTCACTTCCTGTAAATTCTGTCGCACGTTTCGCTATTATAATCTGAAATTGATAAAAATATTTTTATAAATTTCAACAAACATATCAAAACTAACGAATGATAAGCTTATACATTAGAAGTCTTCAGATATTTGACTTTAGACGTTCGTAAACCACTAATTACGCTTACTTCTCCGACAGTTTGTCCCTCTCACTTCTGTTTGCACACTTATCCAGAAATCTGACTAAAGAGTTTTTTTTTTTTATAAGAATCTGAAACTGTTCCGTTTCCTAATACAGAATTCATGATAGTAGTAGTAATAGAGGTGATGATATATAGAGAAGGAAGGAAGCAAACTTACTCCATTTGTAATCAGTGACAATGTTGAAATTGACGTAACGTGAAGTATGACGAATAGAAATGAATAGTTCATTTGATTCATTATTTATAAATATCAAAATTATTTCACTTATAAGCTGTAAAAATTTATTGGCATAAACAAATACGTTTAAATTATTTATGAGAAAGTATGTGGCAGAAAGTTTGGGAATGATTAAATTAAAGATAAAGAAGAAAATAGACGAATGAGTTTTTATCATTTGAATAATATCAAATGATAATATCGAAGATATTTGCACAATCAGGAAAATATTAGAAAAGCGCGTAGTTATGATCCACTTAATGAGCTTAATTGAGCGTGACATACACAAAAATATTTACCGCCTAATTTGAATTTGAATTTTAGATTTGATTTGATTATATAATATTTGTATTCAAAAATAAGAAAGCAAACCTTTTAACAGAGATTATGATCATATTCAATCAGTATATAAGTGAACGATAAGTATGATTAAGTAATAATCAATCAATCATTTTGATCGGATATCATCCAAATATCTTCAAGATTATGTATCATAGCTACAATCACACCGAAATCTTTCTTACTTATTACTAATGTTTTTCATAAATATACTTTAAGGATTGAGTAAACTTTCGGAATATCTCATTTAAGAAAATGCTAAAATTTCGTTTTGTATCAAATCTATGGATGAAATTGGTCGACCAGATATAATTCTAAAAATGAAAATAAGAAAAAAATTTTAAACCATTTCAAAAATTTTCACAAGCTGATTAGTCCTAATGAGAAAATGAGAATAGAACAACTATCATCTTCAATTTAATTTAAAAATGATATATATATTCCAACTTGGCTGCAATAAAAATGCCACGTATATAAGTCTTTGACTTATGCTGTTAATTAATTATTTGTTAATTGAGTAAAAATTTATTATATTAATTATCTGTTAATTAAAGCAAAATCTGTGTTATCACTTCTTCTAACCAAAATTTGATCACAAAAAAAGCAAAATATTTTAAACAAATAATTGGATGTTTTTGGGAATTAGTGATAATTTCCTAAAATTTTTACCAAAATAAACAAAATTGATATATTGTTGATATTTTCAAAAATCAAAAAAAGATTATCGGAAAGAGACAATACAATTGCAGAATATCAACGTATTCCGTAATTCTATTGTCTCTTCCCGATAACCTCTTTTGATGTGTAATGGCAAATTAAAAAATTTGATAATAGCTAATTAAATCGTTAATTTACGTGAAACTGAAGTATGTTCGAATTTGTGGAGGGATATTTTTGCATGAAAGTAATTATATTTTACCTGTAAATGTTAATTTGACACATCGATACTATGCATATGATTTGTTACTAAAAATAGTCAATTTTTTATCCATCAATTTAAATTAATGGATGGTTGAAAAAGGTTATAAATTAAGGTTCAGTCAGAAATTTTTACAGTGTCAAATTTATAGTGCACTTTTATCATTCACTTTAAGTATTTTCATCATTTTACTTTAAGCTTTTACAAAAAAAAATTATTATATAAACAGCAAATTTCAATTTAACTTCAGTGCAATGCTAATAACCAATATTCACGTTTTCGGAAATTGACTGGAAATGATGCGGCAATACGGAATTAATAAAATTTAAAATTGATTTCTAAGTCTAAAATGTATAGAAAGGACTACCAAGGAAAACGTTGAAATTCAAATTTATCAAAGATAATATTAAATCAATAAGAAATTGATTTCTCAGGTGTAAAATCAGTAGGATTACCAAATTTAGCGATCAAATTGTTTTAACGATATTATATAAAATCATCCCTGCAAATTTCCTATTTTTTAACTAAATTGAAATTGCACATTTTTGATCACAAAAAATAAAACGCTAAAAAAAACTTTTCATTTTTCCAGATTGTTTTCCGGAAATGTTAAAGAATTTTAGAATTCTTTTTGATTGAATTGGTATAATCTCTAACAAATGTATGATTCATAATGTGCAGTTAAGATTTGGAATTTTATAAAATTTCAAATTAACGAATAAAGTTGAATGCATTTAAACGAAGACATTTTTGGTGAAATTTCTTTTTCAATACAAAACTCAAAAAGTGGACGATTGATGAAAAGATGGAATTATCATTAAAATAAACCGATTGATTAAAGTATTACTAATAAAAAAGTACCTAAAATTTATCTTATCATAAAGAATTTTAGTCGCAAAAGGACAAACTCTCATATTCGCTATCTAATTTAACCCAAAACGTGTAATGTGTAACAAATGCTTGAAACGCATAAAACATTCAAAATTAAACTATGTAGAAGTGATGAATAGAATTTGATGAAAAATCGCGGGAGTATTTTGGTGTAATTTGGTAAAGCACTGAAATAATCAGTGAAGAAGGCATTTATAACAGAATTAGAACGCATTCATACATAGAAAATAAATTTCAGGAAAGAAAAGAGAAGAAAAAATTTTAAGAAAGTTTCTTTTTGGCATACTTTAAAAAAATGTTTTTTTCATTTTGAAAAATTATTTATCATTTCTGATAAAATCATTCATTCGTTGAATATTCACATCAATAAATTATCATTTAATCATTTAGGAAAAAAACAAACAAAAAAAGAAAAGAATTGAAATTACATCGATGAAATAAATCAAAAGCATATCAGCGAACTAAAATTGATTTATAAAATTTGACCTAATATAGTTGAAAAAAAGAACAATTTTCATTTTGATGTATTAGTAATTTGGATTAATTAAATTTCCCATTTATTTTTCACCATTTACTTCTTTATATTAACAAACGTGTATGCATATGTATACTAAATGAATATCAGCGAACGATATCGAACGATACGGATATCAATAATAACTAATACTTCCGCAAGATACCAATCACATATCAAAAGGACATCAGATGAATATCTTACTCAGCCATTAGCCATCTGAAATATACGATATATTTAGAAAGTATCAAACAGATGCAACAAAGTTGGAACAATTTTATTTTATTTTAATAATTGAGAAATTCAAAGATTTGATTTGGTATGAATCAAAGTTAGCAATAAAATCTAATTAACTTATGAGAAAAAAGTGAAGAAATCAAAAAATGTTTTTTTGAGTTGCCTAATCTTTTATAAAGCAATCGAAATTTGATTCAATCAATGTTAGTAACATTAATTCTCATTTAAATGAAACAAGTCACTATTAAATTGCTATCTTCATTAATAGTATCTTAAATCCCAAAATTTCTTACCATTCTTACAGGTTGTTTTCACCGGACCAACTGGAACGAAACCAAGATTACATATTAAATTAGCCGTTGTTCTGGAAGCATATACGGTTGCGGTAATGTCTGAGTTACATCTCCATTGAGCTGTTTCGGTATAGGCAACTTTTTGAGAATTCAGTATTTTTTCTTTTACCTCCTTTACGTTATCAAAGATATGAATGTTCAGTGCAATTCAGTTGGTCCCTGTTTTGCGATAATAAAGATAAGATTTTAATTTTTGAAAAGCGCTGAGAATGTTAAACGATAATACTGCTTCAGAAGCTTACTTTTAGAGATTATACGGCACTTAAATTAGGAAGTAGTTGTGAATTAATTAAAATTCAAAATTATTATTATTCTTCAAGAATTGCTAAAATGTTTTCAAAAATTTAAAAGTTTTTAAATGTTAAAGCTTTTCAAACGCTGATTAATTAGTATACGAGTAATATATTCATTTGGAGAAATTATTGTTTTTTCATAATTTTTAATAAATAATCCTTCTAATTTTTTAATAAATAATCCTTCGTAACAATAAAAAATTGAAAATTTTTTTCTTTTTCAGAAACAATAACAAATTGGAAATGTATATTTCAGGAAACAGTAACAACAATAATTCAAGAAAAAGATTCCGATGCGATATGTCGCCTAATAGCTTCTTCTTACATAGGCGCGTATCCCTTTCAATATCTTTTACAATAATAACAAATTCCCTAAAATTTGTTTAAATTTCAAGTATTAAATTTATTTAAATTTCAGCTTACAGATGAAAAATTGTTGAGCGACATATTATTTCACATCATCCACTATTCACTAAATTAAATACTGAATTCAGAAGACTAAAGCCATTGAATGTTAATTCTACAAATTCTGTGGATGCAATGATTCATTGCTTTCGTTTACAGATTCACCCATTTTCAAATTTCTTAGTGATAAATTTAACGACTGTAAATCAATCATTCCATTAAAAATCTCACACAAATCTGGCTCTAATATTCAAGTAAAGAATATGAATCCATCCGAATGTTTACTTTTTATTTCATTTCATTTGCTAAACTCAAAAGTTTTAATAACCAAACAATCAAATATTTCAATTTTATAATGGTTGGTTCTTATAGTTGTAAAATATTTAGATGTTAAATTTTAGTCATTTTGATCTTATAGCTTCCGTTAAATACATAGGGACAAAGTTTAAATCAAATCAAGTTTGATTTACTATTGATATGAATAATTAACTATAAGTAACTGCAAATATTATGCACTGGAGATGAATGAATAAATGAATCTGTAAGTTCTAAACTCATCTGATAAAACTTTAATGTTTATTCAATTTACAAAATTTCTTCTTGCAAATTATTTTTTATAATTTATTGAAATTAAGACTACTATTACTTTTACTTTCAGACTTCTTTCAATGCAACAGAGAAAACTTTATCAAAATAAACGTTCCATAAAAATTTAGGACATTCTATTACAATTTTTAAGATTTTTAAATTATTAAAATAAGAAGTAAACTTTAAGAAGTATTAAAATAAGAAGTTTCGTAATAATACTATTTACATTCCGTTCACATTTTTATCCATGGAGAATTTAAAAATTGAAGTTTACTGCAAGGAATTAACTTATAGTCTTACAAATTTATATCAATCCGATGCATATTTAATTTGCTTGTAGCATATTCAATTATTCTCTTTGTTGTTCCAATTTACCGTTATGTAATAGATATTACAGCAAACATAGAATTTTATATGCTATGAAATTAATTATATTTGGAAAAAAATAAATATGTGTTGTAGTATAGCTTAAATAATTAATATGCTTACTTAATCTATAATTGATGCTACGAAGCTGTTATATATACTTTATCTTTTACATTTGAAAATTGAAAATTCTATTAGGCGTAAAAAGTATTGCTGTACTTTGAATAATATCTTAAATGATAAAAATATTGAAGTAAAACAAATATGCCATAAGAAACGTTTATTATAGAATTATTTCAAGAATTTCTATATTCTCAAGTATTATTCACGTCATGAATTCGTCGTGTTGCACTACATAAGCTGCATGCATGCATTTATGGCAATCACTGTTTGCTAATTATTTGTGTTGTTAATAAAGTGAAAGCTTTTGAATAATGCAAAATGAAAGTGATATGTTCCGCATAAACGTAAAAAAATATAAAATACGTTACAACAAATTGATAAGGCATGCGTTACTTTCATTCTTCACTAGATTTCAGTATCAAATTGAATAAATAACGAAAAAGAACTTGAGTAGTGTTTTTGATTTTTGATTCAAATTTTAATTTAAACAGTAACTGTGTGCAATTAATGCAAAAGCAAGATTTAAAAAAACAATGAAGCCTGAGACCAAGAAAAAATACCTATCAATGATGAGTTTGAGATGAAAATTTCATCGATATTTATAATCAGACATTTTAGGGTCGATCTAAACAACATGTACATTTTTTTAATAAATTTAACACTTGAAAGTATGCCATAAATAATGGAAAAAAAGAAACAGAAATTTGATAAAAATCTAAATAACTTCAAATGATTTTAATATCTGATCAAAACATAATTTACAATTATCTTAAATATCTGATCATAATTTAAATTTTGATAAATTGCTTAAAGTTATCCTCAGTTAGATTAACATCACAAATAATTGCTATTATTACGAGTTGTTGCGGAACTATCACCTGCAGGAATGCAAATTCCAAAACCGTCATTTGGTTTCCATACATTCTCATTACATATCAATATTGTTTCACCTTGTGCCCGATATCCTTTATTACAGTTTAATATCGCTTTTGTACCCATTTGATAATCTTTTATATAATCAGTGTAAATATAATAAACCTGAAATGTTAACCTTTTTAGCACAATAATTATTTTAATGTCTATCCTAAGAAAAAAATCAGCTTTAGAGGTTTTTCTTTGCTTGTAATTTCTTATATAAATATTTGAGATTAATGTTAGTTATAAGAGAAAAAACAAATATGATGGATCAAATATTTGCATAGCATTGAAATGGATAGAAATGAATAGAAATTTGAAGCAAAATTGCGATTAAAATAATTTCAATGATAAAAAAATATATACCTTTCCATTTAATGGAGAATTGATTGGTTCACAGGAAACATCAGTTTTAATGCCAACTCCATGTTGACAATTTCCAATCGATGGTAACCAAAGGCCATTCCGACAGTATGTAACTTGCTTACCATTAATTTCGTAGCCAGTGTTACATTGCAATTTTGCGCTAGCACCATTATTATACCACTTCATATTATCATTACTTTCATATATTATCTACAATATCATCAAGTAAAAGAAGGCTAGCATAAGGAAAGTAAAAGTTTAGACTAATTTTTCTGGAAATTAACCTAATTAAAAGCGCTCCCAATACTGACTCAAATAAACAGAATCTGATAAAATTAACCATTCCATTTCCAAATGCAATGGTTATTTCAGAACATGCATCCACTGGTTTAACTCTATTTACGGTATACTGTTGTTGTTCTGGTGCAGAAGGTTGACAACTACCTACACCAGGCCAAGGTGACCAAATGCCACCTTGACAATAGGATGTTGATCGTCCCAATACTTGATAACCATCATCACAAATCAAATTTGCCACTATATTGATTGCATATTTATTATTTTTATTCATTTTACTGTAGTACACCTGAAGTTATTTTAAATCCGATTTCTATAAAATTTTAGATAAAAACAAATTTTTAAACAATTAAATGAAATAGACAAATATTATAAAACCAATTAAAAGAGCATGAAATTTTAGCATAAATATTAATTGCAAATTAAGAAATATTATTTTTGTTATGTTTTAAATTATGCATTTTTTTATATTGGTTTAAATAGTATTGCTTTTTACGTTACCTTATTTGCTTTATATGTTTTGTAACTTCAAAAAATTCCACTGAAGTGTTGAAATTTCAAATCAAAAAATAAAAAATAACCTAAATCTATACCTTTCCATTAGAAACAGGTGGTGAAGCAGGACAGTCGAACAGTAGTAATGCAGCTTGTTTCAATCCAGTGATTAGAAGATTTTTGCTATTATCTGCAATAAAATAAAAGATCGTCGAGAAGTCAAAATGAAGAAAGTGAGTGTTGTTGATAAATTAAGCATTACATAAAAATAGCTGTGAGGCAATTTTTTAAATTTTTAGTGAGCTAATGAAATTCAAAATATATGTGTAGGTGTATGTGTGTATGTGCAAGTTTAGAGTGAAAATTTTAGATAAGCAAAAAAGTTGCGCTGAAATAAAAAGAGGTGGATTTTTGGAAACATGCATAAATTGTCTTACCTTCCAATCGATCACTTAATTACTATGAATATGGAAATTTTGAGAATGAAACACATCAGTCTCAAAAATATTTATAATCTTTTGTTTTCATTTCAAAGAAGAAGCATAATTTTTCTTGTCATCTTTAAATTATATTTTTTATTAATTAACGATAGAAGAATTCAGAATACTGTCACAGTATATAATTTAGAGAAGCCACTATTTTTCATTTTTGTACATTCCAGCATTATATTCGCACTTATTTATAGATAACAACGTAATTTCATAATTATTTCTGCCTAAATCATCGAAAAAAAAATTAATTTACTACACATTTTTCAAATCAATTTCATACATTTGATGAAATATAAACAATTTAAAATAAATCAATTAGATTCTTCCCGATGCGCAATCACTCACTTACCATTCACTGGACATTGGCCTAACATCACAGGATTCCATGATCCTCTGATGCAAATTGATAATTTTCTTCCAATTGGTGTACTACCACTATTGCAAATTAATGTTGCTGTTGTTCCACTCTCATACGGTGGTAGTATATTTCCCTAAATTGTCATCTTAAGGGTTTTGCTCCGATAATAGCATTCACTCTTAAATAGCCTTATACTTCTTGGTCCAATACTTGAAAGAAATTTTAATTTTATTAAAAAGAATATAACTCATTTTAATCTTTAACTAACATAACTTACGGTAGAATATCGGATTTGTCCATTTGCTATAGCAGGCAACTCAAACAGACATTGTTTTGAAATGGGAATTTGACGTATTTCTGAACCAATTATGCCTTGCTGACAGAATCCTAAAACTGGTTGCCATTGTCCTAAAAAAATAAAAGGATTTTCAGATCATTTTATATCAGATTATTTACTCTCTCAAAATTATATTAAAAAAATATATTAAAAGCACATTTGTTAAATGTTTAAATTTATGACTTACAAAAGTCTAGTCTTTTATAAAGCAATCGAAATTTGATTCAATCAATGTTAGTAACATTAATTCTCATTTAAATGAAACAAGTCACGATTAAATTGCTATCTTCATTAATAGTATCGCAAATCCCAAAATTTCTTACCATTCTTACAGGTTGTTTCCACCGGACCAACTGGAACGAAACCAAGATTACATATTAAATTAGCCGTTGTTCTGGAAGCATATACGGTTGCGGTAATGTCTGAATATGTTACATCTCCATTGAGCTGTTTCGGTATGGGTGCGCAAGGCAACTCTTCAACTTTTAATAGACCTAAAGATTTAAGCTATAATTAAAATAAATATTCATTGAATCTTTTCTGATATTTGAAAGTTAAAAATTTGGGATTTATTTCATTGAGAAAAAAAGAAAGATATTCTTACTTTCAACATTTCCGGGTTCCGGTACACACTGCACTAAAAGTAGTGGCGTAAAAACACCATTGATACAGACAGCAGATGATAAACCAAGAGGGACATAATTTGGATTGCAAATGACGGTAGCAGTGGTACCGGTAGGAAATAGTCCCACTTCTGAACCATTCGAATATGATATTCGACCATTAATGGGTGTTGGAAGTGCAGGACATTGTCCTATTTTAGCTACACTTATTGTACTAGCAAGAGGTACACCTGCAACACTTGATATTTTATTGATCAGAAAAATATTTCATTAATTTATTATAGACTTTTGCTAATTAATTTTTTTCAAAAAAGAGTAAAATAAAAATATATGATAATCGAAAAAAAGAAATAACAGTAACCGAAAAGTCTTGATCTATTATCAACACATTGTCCCAATACCAAAGGTGACCAAATTCCATTTAAACAGGTTAATGATGTAGTACCGACTGGCTTGAAGCCATGATCACAATTTATGGTTGCTACGGTTCCTGGTGAAAACGGTCTCTTGCTCGAACCATTGCTATAGCTAATGTATCCATTCGTTGGCGGTGTTATATCAGTAACACAGCTACCTACTACGGTAACACCTGGTGGCGGTGAAACTAACGCAGCGCTCAATATTGCATTATTCAATCTTTTAGCAAACGCTGGAAAAAAAACTTGCCAAACTCCATAGAATATATAATAAATACAAATTATAAATTATTCTAAACTAAATTTACTTCGCTGGTAATTAAAATATATTAAAAAAAACCTTTTGAAACTTTATAAAAATGTTTGAAAATGTGATATGAAAAAAAAACAACAAAGATCTTTTATGATTTTTTATTAAAATTGTAATTGAAATTATATCGTAGAAATGTTAACTGAAGTTTAACTTTAAAAGCAAATGCTACATATTTCAGCCATCAAAACTGAAATCAAAATATAGCCCAATTTGATTGCAAACTGATACATATGTCTGAAAGTTAACAATATATATATCGTGTAAAACTCAAAATTAAAAGTACTACGAACTTCTATCAAACTGGATACATTGTGTTGGTATCGGCGGATACCATATTCCATTCTGACAGATAGCAATCATTGAACCTATTGGTATATATCCGGAATTACACCGTATGTTAGCTCTAGTTAATGTCGGATATGGTCGAATGGCGTTATTTGAATATACAACGATACCATTTTCTGGTGCAGGATAATCATTCAAACAACTAGCTAATTCAAGAACGGAACCTGAAAATTTAATAATATCGTCGATTTTCAATATTTCTTTCCTATAAGCTAGCATCCTTTACAAATTTCAAGTATAGATTTTAATTTATGCATAATATTTTCCTTTATCAATTTATATAAAAAATATTTTTCAAATAAATATAATTTTTAATATGTTGGTTTTTGGTTTTCCTTCCTCTTTTCGTATTTAATAACGACAATTTCTATAACTTTCAAAACATGTTCGATAAAATATTAAAGAGCTTTATCATAAGATTTTGTTGCTAATTAAATTTCTGATCGGATCATTTTCCACATCGATCCATCACTTTTTCAAAACTTTCTATTCATTACTTTAGCATTGATTGATATTGATTACTTTGAACTTTTCAAATTTTGAAAATTATTCTAAAACAGCGAAAAATAAAATGTATAAATTATATGCTTTATTACCTATTTCGTACCTTTATTACCTATTACAATTATTTTGTAACAAAGTTCAGTGATACTATTTAATTAGTTCTCCTAAAATTTAAGAATTTCATTATGTCGTCATCTCATAAACGTCTTCTATTTTCACTTAATATCATTTAAATGATATTTGTTGTTTGCCACCAAATATTTCTAATAACGAATTTTTAAATAGTGAAATTCCCATCATCTAATTATTACAAGCAAATTAGCTAAATGAATTCAATATTTTCACTTGTCATAATACATTGATTGAATCAATAGAAATGCCATAAGTGATGTTTGAGCAACTCTTTCTTATTTCAACCCAAAAATAAACTCTTAAAAATTTCCATACTATAGGACTTTAGAAATCTTCAGAAGTTTGAAAATTTTAAAATTTAAGTCTTTTTTACAATTCAATTATTCTTTTTTTACTTTAGCTTTTCCAACTTCATTTTGTACAAATTTATCTTCTTTTCTAGTTCTTACGAAAAGTTTTTTCCTTTTGATGAAATTTAATTTTATAATAAAGAAATGGGATGTTATACAGTGAAGACCACTGATATCTCTACCCGGCCTTTCGCGAATCCACCCGAGCTAAAAACCCGAGGTTTAGAAATGGTCTACTAGGAAAGTAGCAGTACACCAGAATGACGTGTAGTGAGAGTTTGTGTATGACTTTGCTGAAATGGGATGGAAAAATATGATCTCAAAACTTTTTTTAATGTAGTTTTGTGATAAAATCTGTGGAATTATGACACAACTTCAGCATTATTGATAACTAAGTTCAAGAATTGAATTAAATTAGAATAAAAGAATTTAAATTTTAAAATATAAAAAGTTTGTTCAAGAAACTAATGAATACCTGAGGAATTTTCAAAATATGGCAATGAACATAAACCAATTTCAGGAGGAATCCATGAACCATTGTCACATGCTGATAACGATGGTCCATAGGAAATACCGTGTGCGCATTCCAATGTAGCTAAGGTCCCAGACGGAAATGGACCCAATGCACCACCTACTTGGGTAAAGTCAAATTAGATTAATGGAAGAATTAAATTTAGATTGTTTCAAGTACTTTCTATTAAATTTTAAAAGATTTAGCAGTGCAAAAAAAGGTCAATTCAAACCTTTACTGTAGACAATGATACCGCCTAGTGGACTTATTAGTCCAAACAGGCATGGATTTCGAGGTGGAACTGATGCAATTGCTGATGGAAGAATACAAACTCCCAAGTTTGGTGGTTTCCAAATGGAATCTTCGCATGTCGACAAAAGCGCACCTAAATTTGAACCTAAACTTCGCAAAAAAAGGGACGGACCGAAGATTTTCGATTTCCTTAATTGATAAAAAAACAATAATTAGTAAAAATGAGGGAAAAAATTTGATGCAATATTCAGTAAACGTTAGCGTAGTACTAAGAATCTTAAAAGTTATACTTATAGCATTCAAATCTAAGCTAATTTAGCATTCAGTTTAGTCCATGCATTAATTAGGCAATAGATCGGAATAGGTTGAGATATACCAAAGAAGAAAAGATAAAAGCCTTTGATTGAATTTCATGTGGAACGTACCATAAATAGTGTAACCGGTATTGCAACGTATAACGGCAACAGTCTCGGACGGATAAGCTCCAAACGAATTTGGTTCATTCGAGTAAGTTAACTGGCCATTCGAAATGATTGGATGACCAGTGAAGCATGGTCTCTTCTGGAAAAAACACTATAAAATTTAATGAGGTGATCAATTTATATTGATGACAAATTGCGGAACATATTACAAATTGTCGTTGTACTGATAATATAAAGGGATTAACCTGTCGTTTTTCCTTTTGATCATTCCGTTTGATATCCTAAAATCGAATTTTAAAACAGAGTTGTCAATAATATCCTTTTAATCATTCAAAACTTCAAAATATGTTCAAAAAAATTCAATATGTTCAAATATGTTCAAAAAAATTCAAAAATAATATGAAATAATTCATATTATCTTAATCCAGATTATCAACCCATATCTGTCTGTCATTACAGACCTTCAATCTGTATCCTCTGATTATTCCACACTTTTCATTTATCAAAATGTGTTTCTTAACGAGAAGTTTTCAAATTTTTTTAATTTTAATTCTTCATCCATCACTGAATTTCTCATTCTCCCGTTGTATTCATTCTTATTTCTCTTTTAAAAAATCGAAGAAAAAAGGGAAGAAAGAAATGTGAAAATATAAAATGCACCTTTTGACAACTTCCAAGAAATGAAACAGGTGACCATCCCTGTAGTTCACATATCAATACATCGGAACCATTAACAACATATCCATCATAACACTCTAGTTCAGCAATCGTTCCAATCGTTATATTCGTTTCACTACCCATCAGATATTTAATCTGTATGTATTGATATATGTTAGTTGTAAATTCTTTTTATTCCTTTGAAAGTTAATTTCATCTTATTTATTAATATCTATAATGTTATAGTTAGTAGATCTAGTCCATAAGCATAGCAGAAAATTTTATTTTAATTTTGAAACTGTTTCCAATAAGATTAAAATTATGAAATAAATTAATTCATATTTAAATTAATTCAAAAAAGAAATTAATGAAGACTCCATTATATCCAATATTTCTCATAAAGAATAGGATCTAAAATAAATCTTTGATTATGCATGATTTATTACGAGCTATGAATATTTAAATTAGCTCTAAAAATTTGATTGAAAAGTTTTCAGGAAACAAAAAAAGTTGCATTGCAAAATATCAAGTTGGAAAATATTTCTAATCAGGAATGCTGCATATGCCGCAGCTCGATATATTCAAAAAGAAACACAACAAAGTAGTAGCAAGAAAGACTGCATCATTTCCTAAAATAAAATTCCTAAAACATCTGAAAATTTAGGATTCTGAAATACGCTAACCTTGCCATTTTGCACTGCTGTAAGTGATGGACAAGTAGTATTACTAATTGGTTGGCAAGTTCCAACTTTCAAGATAGACCATTTACCATGATGACATTGAGCTTGTCTATTAAAAGTGGAATAGTAGTGATCAGCGCATATTAAATAAGCCGAAGTACCACTGGGAAAGCTGTTATTACCATGTTCACTGTATAAAATATAACCATTTTCATGTGGTGGTAATGGAGAGCAGCTTTTTGATATTTCTAAAAAACTTTAAAACTTTTTTTTTTAAAAATCAATTATTCACTTTTCTGACATCAAAGTAAAACAGTAAAACAATCAAAGTAAAACAATGAAGTAAAACAAGAAGTAAAACAATCAATTAATTCACTTTTCTGACATCAAAAATAATTCAACAAATCAATAAGCTAATTTAGTAAACAAATTTTGTGCTTAATTTTGAGAGTTTGAATTTTCAATTATTCAAGTTTCGAAATTGTTCAGTTGTTTAACGAACTTTTTTTCCTTTAAAAAAAGTCTGTCATAAAAATATATACCGGTGAAAATTGGTATACATTCACCAAGCTTATCCGTTGGATACCATGTACCAGTGACACATACTACTTGATTTTGCATCGATCGTTTATAGCCTTCGTTACAACTTATTGTTGCAAAGCTTCCCATCGTTATTGTCTCCGAATTTTCTAATGCTTCTGATAGCTTATAAATTACCTTTAAAATGTTTATTTATATAAGCAAATAATATTTCAATTATCAACGATCGTTAAAAATTTTTGGAATTTATCAAACTTCAAATTTTATTCAAACTTTGAAAAATGAATAAAGCAGTATAAATAAATGCTTTGAGTTAGTAAAATACGACGTTGTAAAAAATAACTCAAATATAATAATTACTTGTCCATTTGATACATTTTGAATCGGTGAGCAATCTGTTGAATCTTTGTCTCCAGTGATTTCATTATCATTACTATCTTTCCATCCATAACAGATCGGATCAAATTCTCGAATATAACCCTTGATCAATTCATATGCACGAAAAGAATACGCATATCCTATTGGAATAAAAAAAAGAATATTGGAAATAGAAAAAAGAAAAAGATAAAAACTTAAGAATAAATGTTGAATTTTAGTTTTAATTAGAAAACAAACATCTTTATCTTTACTATTAATCAACTGATTCCTATTCTTATATCGATATATTGGTGCTTTAGCTCCACAATCTCCGAATGATCGAGCGCAAAAAAGTTCTTTAGGTCCATTGATATCGACATATTCAGGTGATAATGGTGTTCGTTCTTTATTGTCTTCATGCAGTACAACCCCTGAATAATATTAACTAAATATCGAGTAGATAATCGCTTTTCTAATAATACAAATTTTTAGTGAAAATTAAAATTTTGCACAATTTTCAAAATTTGAAAAAGTTTTTTCAAAATTTGAAAGAGCTGAAGTTTTATGCTATATTTGAAATTTTCTAAAGTGATAGTGCTATTTTCATCTCTATATTTTTATCAAAATATCTTATTAAAATTTAAGAAATTCTCAAGGATAAAGAAAAAAAAATGGAGGAAGATTATCAATTGTCAACCATCAATGAATCGTATATCCGTAAATAGTTTGAATGTACAATGTTTCGGACAAGCTGTTGGAATTCCACTATTTAGAAATATTTCATCCGAACTGGAATTAGTCAAATTTTCCTGTTTCAGCTCATTGCTACCAATATGGTAAATTTTTATTGTTTGATTCGAATATTTTGTCCATATCAATACTGGTACTATAAGTATTATCATTTTTACAACTTTCAAATTATCACTCAAAAATTATCCTTCTCAAAAATAAACATATGTTAATTTCACTTAACAGATATTGATAAAGTGATAAATTGGATATGAAAAGCTTAATTTATTTATGAATAAGGGCAAATTTTCATTTTATCCTTCAATTTGAACTGACAAAATTTAAAACATACTTAAAATTCAAATCCTTTTTAAAAGAAAGAAATAAGGCTCAATAACAAATCAATACTTTACAAATTTAAATTTCTTATTTCTGTCTACAATTTTATCATTAAATTTCAATTTAAAAATAATAAGAAAAAAGTGGGCAGAGAATATTAACAAATTTTATTGATTAAAATTTCTAAATCTCATATATACGTGAAAATAATTTTTTTTTAAATTAAACATTTAAAAATAATGTAATGGAAATTCTGATTTAAACTTACTAAGATTGTTTGGATAGCTACCAGATGGACATGCAGGCGTTAGTGAATAAATTGGCTCGATTATATTAATCAAAAGAATAAAATATATCCAACGATTACAGTGGAGCATTAGATAATTCAAACTCTAATCTTTTTTTCACTGTTATCAATTTGCGGATACCTTTAAATTTGGTTGAAGAAATTGATAATCATTTAGTCTCAATTAAATAAAAGCAAAAATTGAGCTAAAAGCAAGCAGCGTTGAGTAATAAAATGATATGATAAGAAGCAAAATGAATCATTCCTATTTAAAAAGATTAAAATCATATATGTATGTGAAGAAACTTTGGAATGGATCAGGAACGGATATTCATTTGTCACAAATCCAAACGATATATCACAGACCAGTTTTATTTGATGAGGAAGAAAAAAAATACAAATTTCCTGAATTTTGGTTAATTAAAAAGGTAATTAGAAGTAATGATTGATTTATACACAAATAATATAGTATTCACTTATAACAATTATTAATAATAATAATCATAATAATAATAATACTAATAATAACAATAATAATAATAATATTAATAATAATATTAATAATATTAATAATAATAATAATAATAACAATAATAATAATAGCAATAATAATAATATTAATAATTATAATAGCAACGAATTTGATAGCAAATGAAAGTAATCGACAAAAGTATTCGTTTAAATAATTTCAAAATCTTTATTCAAACATATTGAAAAAGGCTGTAAAAGTAATTAACGAAAAGACAGATATCCCATCCGATCCGATTCGATCCGATCCATCCATCCATCCATCCATCCATTTGAAGTAATTATACACTCCAATTATATACTATTTGATAATAACACACGAATTGCTACTATTTCGTTATTTAAAGTTAATCGGCGACAAAAAAGAGAGAAAACATCGAATAATTTAAAAAATTTTTGAATTTAAAAAATTTTTTTCATTTAGAAAAAATGACGCAAAAAGGTAAGTAATAAATGGAACAAATTCGAAATTATTGAAAATGACTTTTATCAATGTAATCTGAAATTAGTTGTAGCTGACATCGATATGTATTCAACACTGATAATATCGATATATATTCAACACTGATAATATAAAGCTATCATTAATTATTGTTTTTAATTAATGCGAAATAATTAAATTGTTTTGCTACAAATTAAGACTCAAAACATCGAATATAAAAAGTTCAATAGTTCATATTTTTGTAGGTTTCATAATTTTTTTTGTAAAGGTCAAATTGTTCTATGAATTTATTAATTAATTTAAAAGACAAACAGGGCGGGAGAGAAAGGAAAACTAAATTGAAGCGGTTGAAATTCGTTGTTGTAATATTATTTCGTTACTTTTTTTATTACTCAATAATGGAAGCATTTGTATATTCAAATCCTTTCTACTTCATTCCGGAAAATTCATTCCAATGTTACAACGACCAGTTAAACAACCACAAATTAATTATTCTATAAATTATTTTATCCTTAAGATTCTCATATTACACAATTATCCAACTTTTTAAAGTAACTACTACTAATTAATACTGCTTGCTCAAATTTATGTTAAAGAAATGTTTTGACATTCTGAAAGTTATCTTATCCATTAGTTAGTTCATATCATCATTTTATGATTGATTTATAATTAATTTTATCATAATAGAAAGCAACAGCTATCTCTGTTATCTTAAGTAAGCTGTATTTATGAGGAATGTATTTTAAAACTGATTATTACATATCCTCAAAAATAACTAACAATTTTAAATGGATACAATTATTGCAAAATATTTCAGAAGTGGAATATTTACCTATCGCTCAAAAATAATCAACAATTACAAATGGATATAATTAAAGTATAATAAACATTAAATTACTATTATCGAAATTGATTTAAATGAAGAAATGAAATGGATAGTTGTTATGAAATTGGAACAACTAACAGGGATAATAAAATAATCTAGGCCAGTAAACATTAATATACGTTATTTCAACTTATTAAAAAGCGATATGAATAATATGAAAAAACCCACCGTTTATAACATCCGTTTTCATTTAATACAGTAAGCATTATTTCATGTTTTTAATAATATAATTTATCATTAAATTCGAAATATTGGAAATATATAAAATGCATAATTACAATTAATCATAAAACAATGAAAGATGTATTTGATAACAATATTATAGCGCACTGATTTCACTAATAATTCAAATTAATTCTAACTGATTTTTGTATAATAAAGTAATCTTTATTATTATTATTTTCTAAGATTATTTACCTGAAATTAATTAATCATTTTAATTTGAGAGTCTTTTATTTCTTCTATTCACACTAATAATTCTAATTGACTTTTGTATAATAAAGTAATCTGTTATTATTATTATTATTATTTTCTAAGATTACTTACCTGAAATAAATAAATCATTTTAATTTGAGAAACTTTTATTTCTATTCATTCTTCCTCTCATTTATTTTTACAAGAAAGAAGAGAAAAAGAATTAAATATATTGTCAGTAATAGAAATGAAAAATTTTCTAATTTCCTTTTTCAGCATAATTTTTCATATCATTGATTTTTAAAAAGGAATCATTCTTATCCATTCATTCCTATTTCTTTCTCTTTTATTCGACCATTTTCAACCTTTACATCATTTATTATCCATCCATCATTTTATACATGCAAAATGATGAAATGTTTTTTGTAGCAAAATGTATTGCAAAAAATTTTGAAATAAAATTCTTCATATGATGGAAATTTAAAAAAAAAATCAATTAAATCTCGTCCATCATAAATGTTATTAATAATATAATTTAATGATAATTTGTTTGACCTACTTTAGCTGTAATACAATCATTTTTAAAATTTCGTGGTCCATTTAAATTATTTATTTGATAGATTAGTAATGATAGTAAGAGGGAAACCATTAAGTTAGCTATGCGGCAATTTAAACGAAATGATTTGATGAGAAGAGAGTTCTTATTAACGAGTTAATTCAGCCTATCCTTATGATCCATTCACTTATCAGATGAATGGTAAAACAATATGACATGCATGATTGATTAGCTGAGTAAAAAAATGGAACAAATGGTGGTCATCGGTCATGTGGTTTACATCAAAGTTTTTTGTCATTTAATTTATACATTCTCGAGAGGCTAAAAATTTTTAAATTTACTTTTTAGTAATCTCGCAGATCCTTCATTTTCACTGACAATTCTGAGCAAAATTTTCAAAACTCCTATCACTCTGTTATTCTTTTGCATTTGATAATATATTAAATTAATATTGTTGCAACGTACGAAATATGATTATGATCGAGAGGATGAATAGTTTCTATATGTGATCAAATGCACTTTCAAAATATTTCATGGAACAAATTTTTCCAATGCAATTTATAAATAATAAAATATATCAATGTTTTATACAACAAATTTTTATTAATTCCATTTGTCGATGATTAAACTGAAAGTTCGTTTGGATTGACGCTTCCCATATCCAAATGGATTTTTTCCTAATTATCAAAAATGAAACTAATAACCATATAGATGAAATATAGCATCGTATAAGCTTAAAAGCTTAGAAATGTTCCAATTTTATGAATTTTGGATTTCATTGAATAAGATCCCAAACTACACAATTAAGCTGCTGAATCTTTGAAAAAAACCTCTGCAAGAAAATTTGTAAAATATTAAAATGATCCCATAACAAATTTCCAGACAAACTGGGCCTAGTAATATAAAGTGAAGCGAAGATTTCCATGAGAATTGAAACCTCATATATTAATTCAGCAACCATTCTTTGTATATCTCAATATCTCCCAGCCCTTTCGGATAATGTATTTTCGCAACTTCACATCCTGATTGTGTAAACCAATTAGTTGCTGAGCCTTTAAAGCACACCTGCATTAATGAAGCATATCACAAAAAGCCACTAACATCTCATCGACAACTCATAATAAAAATAAGGAGAAAGAATAATAATTATTATAAAACACTTCGGTACAACCAAATAATTAAGAAATTTCCTGAACTGCAATATTAGCTATTATTCCGAACTGAACTTCGTACGTAGCCAGCTGATTATAAATTTAATTACCCCTTATCATAAAATACATTCCACTTCCATAGGTGTATGTCATCAGTGATTGATGTATGCACTAATTTTATCAGACATAAAAAACAAACAAAAAAACAAACCATTTTTTGCGGGGAGCGCAATACAATAAATCAGATGAGATTTCGCTTAATCAATGTATATGCTGCATGAACATTTAAAAAATGTAAGAAGTCCGTAAGAATTTAATAACAGAAGAAAAAGAAAGTGAAAATTAGTTTGCACAAAATTCAAAATGAGAAAATGAATCCGTATAACGCAAGCAAAATTAGAGAATTTATAAGAAAGGTGAAACAACGACAAAAAAAATCCACGAATTTCACGTGTTGTCCATTAAGGAATAATAATATATGAACACAAAGTTAAAAATTTTTAAACAATAAAAATCCTAAAAATCTGAACTGTCTAATGAATGAAAAGATAAATAAGATGCCAAAATGTGGAAACAATTTCAATATGAAACATATCAAAAAACGTGGCATGTAAACAATCGGAAATGCAACTAATCAATATAGACTACCCATAACTCTAGGCCGGATCAAACAGAAAAGCTAACAAATCTTCGGTAACATGCGCATTTTCTTATAGCTCTACCATAATGCTTTAATCAGCTGGAAATATGGTAAGGAAGGAATAAAAAATATCAAAAGCACTTCTAATAAGAATGGAAAAACAAAAGACAAAACATCTGGAAAGATGAACAGCGATCAAAGTCGTACTAATATACATCGGCACGGTATGATAGCATTAAACATGTTGATATTTTTCTCATGAGCTAACGCTATCGCGTCACAATATACCCAGCAAAATGCCTCCGTAAAATGAAGTTCAGTTCAAGAATGCCAATATAAAAGTAAAGAATTTCCAGTCATCCAACTGAATGTAATAATGAAATGAGATTGAAAAGAACCTTTTCCCTTTCGCTGTAAGAGTCGATCTTTCCAAACTCTTTTAAGGAAAGCAGTAATTACTGCCATCAAAACTGA